TTCTTGTCAATCTATCTTATCTTATCTTTCTTAGGGCGTACTCACACTAGGACTTCATCACTTGTTTATAGACGTAATTGCGGTGATATACATCCAGGTTCGTCCGGTCCGATACGTTTCAGATAGAGCTACTGTCAGTACGCCCTTATCTTATCTTATCTTATCTTATATTATCTTATCTTATATTATATTATCTTATATTATCTTACGATATCTGTCATACATCAGCGATGGCCAATCATTGATCTCAATCATGCAATCATTACATCACCAATCCTGGGCTCTTTCACACCAATAAATCCAACTTCAACTTAACTTTTCCTTTTATTCTTGGTTAGCACATCAACTTTCTTTTTTTTTTTTTTTTTTTTTTCTCATTGGAAACAATCATTATATTAGCACATCAACTTTAAATACTCTCCCCCATCTGGCTTTTCATTTCCAAACGTTTGCTTCTTCTCGTATATTGCACCCCCCTGGGTGAAGGCTTGACCACTTGTGCATCCTTCTTAAACAAGAGTCTTGCACTGTGTCTTCTGGACAGAAGCTCATTGACTGATTTGCCTTCCCCGCTCAACTTAGACTCCGTCCATTCCTTCTCTTCCTCCTCCTCTTCCTCCTCTTCCTCCTCCTCCTTTTTCTCCTCCTTTTTCTCCTCTTCCTCGTTATCATCTTGCTTCTCTTCTTTCTCTTCCAACTCTTTGCCTTCCTTCCCTTCTTTCTCCTCCTCCTGTGTTTCCTCTCTTTCTCCATCTTTCTCCTCCTCCATTTTCTTTCCTTTCTCCTCCTCCTCCTCCTCCTCCTCCTCCTCCTCCTCCTCAACAAGGCAACTGTTATCTGCCGCCGCTAGTTTTCGATTACTCAGCATTGCTGTCAAGAAATCTGGGCACCCATTGGCAAGGAACGGTAGTGGGCTATGCACTAAACCCTCCCTTCGACCGGTTAAGGACAGCAACAAGTATGCTCCCTCTCCTCCTTCCTCCCTCTCCTCCTCCTCCTCCTCCTCCTCCTCCTCCTTCTCCTTCTCCTCGGCGTCTTCATCCTCCTTATAGTCATCATAATCATACGTTTTTCTAGCTGCACCCCATCGCAACCAAGCTCTCAGGAAATCTGGGCATCCGTTGGCAGCAGAAAAGGAAGGAAAGTCGGCATCACTGTTATGGTCCTCAGCTTTGGTACCAGCTTTGGTACCAGGTTTGAACCCTGGTTCGATGGGGTTGCGAGATGCGTTCCTCGACGCCCGTCGAGCTGTTAACTGGTGATCAACCGCTGGTCTCGGGTAGATAAAAGGGGAGGAGGAGGTGATGGTTCCCCCCTCACGCCCTTCACATCCGGAGTCGTCGACTTCCACTGCTCCAGCAGCATGTCCTCCCAAGTCACGCGATGATGATGCCTTACCAAATATGAGATTTACCCTCGGCGCGTCATTTACTGCCACGTCAGTCATTGCCAAGTCATCATCCAGTGCCACGTGTCCCAGTGGCACTTGCGCTGGGGTGGAGAGCTCCCTCGGTAGCTCCGGTAGAGATGAAGCTCCAGCTGCTAACTTCTCTGCCTCCCTGATGACCACGTCGGCAGCTGACGTGTCCGCCTTCTCTGCCTCCCTGCTCACTACTGCATCTGCATCTGCTGACGTGTCGGCCTTCTGCGACCTCATGCTCACCCTCACCACGTTGGCAGTGGACGTGTCAGCCTTCTCTGCCTCCACGCTCGCCGCATCGGCAGCAGCTGACGTGTCCACCCTCTCTACCTCCATCTCCATGCTCACCGCCGACATGGCAGCTGACGTGTCGGCTTTCTCCTGCTCCATCATGCTCATCATCGCAGAAGCTGACGTGCCGATTTTTTTTCCCACCTCCATGCTCACCCCGTCGGCAGCTGCTGCGCCTCCTATCTTCTTCGCCTGCATGGCCGCCACGTCGGCAGCTGACGTGTCCGCCTTCTTCTCTGCCTCGCTGCTCGCCACGTCAGCAGCTGACGTGTCAGCTCCATGTTCTCGCTCCGTGTTCATCGCGGCGGCTGCTGACGTGTCAGCTTTCGCTACCTCCACGCTCGTCACCACCATGTCAGCAGACGACGTGTCCCTCTTCTGCGCCACTGACGTGTCCACCCGTTCTCGCTCCATGTCCACCGTGGCGGCGGCTGCTGACGTGTCCAGTTCCTCCATGGTCGCCACGTCACCACCCGCTGACGTGTCATCATCTCCTTGGCCAGCAGCATCTTCAAATGCCGTGGTTGCCAAATTGAGATCAAAGATCGGTCTGCAGCTCGAAGGCCGGTCGGGATCTGCGACCGCGTTGTCGGCTCGTACCATCGGGCTCTCGACGTCCACGTCAGCAGCATCTGCAATCGCCACGCCGTCATCGGCTTGAAGATCGCCGGATGCGGTCGTCGCGACATTGAGATCAAATAATACAGGTCGAGATCTGCGAGTGAAAAAATGCGGCCGGGACTCGTTGGCAGCTGACGTGTCGTTGGCGTTTCTTGCGGCTGCGGACGGCATATGCACGTCCACGTCAGCAGCATTTCCTCCTCGCACATCAGCTGAAGGATGACCGAGTTCGGTGGTGGTGGTTGCCGCGTGACCGTCGTCACGCAGCTGTCCCGATGATGATGATCTGCAAGCTGATGATGAAGGAAGGGCAGATTGGAAAGAAGCAATACCTGCTGCTGCTTCAGCACATCCACGTTGGTCCACGTCAGCAGCAGCACACGTTGATTGATGACCGCTCCATGGCCACGAGGTGGCTGAGCCTACTACACCAGAGCGCGCGTCCAAATGCGCGCGAATATCGAAAGCCACGTCAGCATCTCGTATTCCCGCGCATTTTCCCGCCGATTCGACCGCCACCATCGCCATGGCCACGCTGAGTACACGTGGCACAAGATGAGAGGGCGGCGGCGGAGGATCCGGGTCTGCGGCCTCGACAGCAGACGGATTAGCACAGGAAGCGGGATCGGGACACGCTGTCGTAATCATCATCGGCCTTGCGTCTTTCCCACCAATCTCAGATGACTGGCGCGCCGCCAAGTCACACTCGCTTTCCCGCCATATTTCATCAAGCTCCCTGTCCCGCCATATTTCGTCACGGTCCCTTTCCCGCCAAATTTCATCAACCTCGCTTTCCCGCCAAACCGATCCCCCGCCAAAGTTTCCCCTTCCCCTTGCTTCTTCGTCGTCGTCTTCTTCTTCTTCAGACGCCGCCGCTGCTCCTCTGGATTGATCAACAAGTTCCCGCGCTGAGCCATGTGCGCCATCGGCAATGCGCGCCACTGCGCCTCCTCCTCCTCCTCCTCCTCCTCCTCCTCCTCCCCCCTCCACTGCTTCATGTCTGTGCTCTTGACACGACATCCTCTCCTTGACACCGGGGGCACTCGTATCAAAAAGATGTCCATCCAAGCCTCCATGTCCATCGGCAATGCGCGCCACTGCGCCTCCTCCCCCCTCCATTGCTTCTCGTCTGTCCTCTGGACATGACATCCTTTCCTTGACACCGGGGGCACTCGTTTCAAAAAGATGTCCATCCAAGCCTCCATCCTTTGACGTCGAAGGGGCCAGCTCCCCATCCCGATCCCGTCCTTTTTCTACCGTGTCCGCCCGGTCTGCCCCCGTCGCCTTGTTCGCTACATCACCGGCCCCGATCCCGATCGCTTCTCGTCGTTCCATAAGCAGAGGAAACGAGCGACAACCCATCATTCCCCCCCTCCCCCCTCCTTCTCCATCTTCT